TTTTGAGCTACTATAAAAACGCTATTTCTGACATTTTTCAGTTGAAAAAGCTTCCTGGATGGGAGGCGAAACGCTTTTTAATTCGGAATCCAAGTTTAGGATTGAAGACGGACAACTTTAAGTTCCTACAGTCAGAACGCTGCCAGTAAAGGTGAAATACTTAATTGGTCTAAATGACAAATTGGTGACAGTTTCATTTTTCAACGCATATCATCATAAGAAGGTGGTTTAGTATTACACTATAAAAACTGATCAAACATTCTTAAATTTAGTGTACTTGCCCTTTATTTGAACAAGTGACCAAGATGATCAGCCAAAGAAAGGAGGATTTTAGCCCTTAAAACAGGATAATTAAGTAATAGTGATCTTGAAGCCAAACTGTATTATCCTGTGTTGATACTGTCTCGCAGAATACTGACACCTGCTGGACATTTAGAGACACTACAGCCAGCTTATTTGACAGACTAAACTGAATTGGTTTAATGACCTACTACAATGATATCATTTAAGTTATTTAGGTTATATTGTATTATTTCATATCTATGTTTAAATTGAAAATATTTTTTCTATTTTTAGATGGAGTCAATAATTTTAACATATAAGGTGAAAATCTAGGGGAAAATGTGAATGAGGATGTTTGTGGACTAGGATTTTAAATCGTATATAAAAATAAAAGGTACAGTAAAAACAGTAAATAAACTAAGAGTCAATTTGAAATTAACTCTAATTCAGATAAGTTGAGTGATAACTGACAGGAAACGTTCCTTTTCCTTTTTAGGCTGCTCCAAAATTCTTTATAATTTTAATGATAAACCGCAAAAGACGAGACTTTGTTTTTTTAGCAGATGCATCATGTTGGCATACATTTTTAAACACAGTTAAGTGTGTCAGTTAAAAACAACTACGGTATCGGTCACATGACTTTCTTGAAGCGACACAGATACAGGGTTTAGCTCTATGGGCTCCTAGCATGCACCAAAGTCACTATTAGATACTATGCACTTAGAATAAATCATTGTATTCCACCTGCAAATTGTCTTACCTACCTCCTTAAATCAAGATAATATTAACCTGTTTAAAGAAAAAATGACAAACATGTACATTTTATGGTAAATTGTTTTCAATTCAGGGGCCATAATGGAACAGGACCGGTTCTAACGAGACACTTAGCCCCTGTTGGCCCCCTTCTAGAACCGGCCCTGTCCTCAAATTCCTTTTTCTCATTAACAACAAACTTTAAATGCATTTATTGGAATTTTATTTACCGTAATAAATCAAGCGGAGACTAGTTCAGTTTTCAACTTTTATTTATTTTGTGTACATTTTTACAGTCTATTTTTTCCTCATACACTGAACCAACAGGGGTTCTATATACATACACAGGATAGATCTGCAACTTGTGCAGGTTGTAATATAGACCTATGCAGATTTCACTCAGGTCATTTGAACTGAACTGAAAAATGCAGAAACATTCAATTTGACACAGAAAGAAAAACAAAATTATTTTTTTCTAATTTTCTTGCAGCTTTAAGATATAAAAAAAATGTATAAATATGTTTTTTTTTCTCAATATATCATCAGACAAAACCTGAAAAGCACTTTTCAGTGTTTCAACTGAAGGCACCAGATGAGCACAACAGAAGCAGATTATTCTCAATCTGTCTCCATGCTGAATATTAAACCAACCCTTCAGTCAAAGAAACACTCTTGTGCTGTTTTTTTTTTTTCTCTTTTTACACAGAGCACTATATAAAAGTTCATGATACAGAATCGAATCCTCCACTAAACCTTGGAGAGCTCCCTCTTATTAACCCAGGATAAACACTGGAGAAAGCCCGTTTAAAGTGCATGAGTGTCACTCATTTGGAGAATAAACTTAGGATATGTCAGCGTTACGGTGGAGTCAAATTACTGTACAGAAGAGCTTTTCTTTTTTCCCAAGAGGCAGAGTTGTGAGGTAAGATGAGGGACGTGCAGAGCCTAAACACTGTGCCTCCTGTTGTGGATCATAGCCATAATGTGGCGCAGGTCCAAGCTCTTCATCATCACCTCCATGAAGTCTTCATCGCTTCGGGCGCCTTCCACAAACTCCTCCAAAGACAGCTCACCTGTTCAGAGACGCACAGCGTTACAAATTAAGCTTCAAAGTACGTTTTCTGAATCTTACAGTAATTATCAATTGAATACTTTAATATATAAATATCTTCATCTGTTGCAGATGGGTTTTCCTGCTACTGGAGCGACATCTCAGATGTATCTGGATCCAATCACCTCAATCCTCATCTAGAGGATGTTTAAATGTTCTCTCTATCTAAGAGGGTGTCTTTGCTTCAGCTTGAGCTTTTTAGGTGAGACCTGATGAAAACTATTTATTTATTCTCTCTGATATCTAAACAATCCAAAAGATGATTCTCATTTTTTACTGTTATTCAGAGATGGGAAGTACAGTAAGGAAGTACAAATACTTTGTTACTGTACTCAAGTAGATTTTTCTGATATTTTTACTTTACTACTTATTTTTATGCCGACTTTTTACTTCTACTTCTTACATTTTTACACAAATATCTGTACTTTCTACTCCTTACATTTTAAAAAATTGGCTCGTTACTTTAGTTTAGAATCATTTCAATGGAGTTACTGTTATTATTTTTCACGTCATCAATACCAAATTCAATTTAATTGGATGGGAATCTACGTTGCATTTGACGCACCACTACAAGATGAATCGACAGATTCGGCGGTATTCATTGGCGGCAAATCATTGCAGCTTGGTGGCGGTGGCGTTAGCATAGTAGCATGGACGACGAGATGATTGAAAATGAACACAACGGAGATCTAGTCCTATTGGCAGACATCCATTTAAAATGTAGGCAACGGCATGAAAAAAGTGGTTTCTACTTTTACTTTTATACTTTAAGTAAATTTACAAGCCTGTACTTTGTTACTTTTACTTGAGTAAAGAAGTTTAATCAGTACTTCCACTTTTACCAGAGTATTTTTTAACACAAGTATCTGTACTTTTACTCAAGTATGGAAAGTGAGTACTTTTGCCATCTCTGCTGTTATTCAGGGGACTCTAAGGACTCGGACCATCCAAACCCTTCCAGTCTGTCTGCTGGAAGCCCATTTCCTCTCTTTTCTCATGGAAACCAGACCAGTACTAAAGGCGACGAGCCAAAACCCATTTGGCAGAGATTGAGGGACCAGGACATTGATCCTGCTTACTGGCTGAGAGCCTGTGATCCAGAAACTAACTGACATGTATGTTGATGCTTGATATATATGTGTGTGTGTGTGTGTGTATATATATATATATTGTTTTTGAAAGCTTTCCTCTGCTTTTTATATATATATATTTATATATATATATCTTTATATATAAAATAAAGATATATTCAGGATATGGACAAAGACACTCTTATGGGTCATTAAGACAAATAATATGTAAACATGTTGAAATCTTTGTTAAACTGATCTATTTACAGTTTAATTAAAGTTAAAGCTCATTTCTCTTTTGTTTTTTTTAATTTTCCTGTCACTCAATGAAACTGTGTTACAGACCTACTTTTCACTCCTGGACTTTTTCTAGATGTTACTGATAAATCATGGCCTAGAGAGGATTTTACTATACTGTAGGTTAATTAATACATATTTAAACTAATTATTGGGAAACTTTTATTTTTTCTGTTTTTGTCTGAACTCTGATTGTTCCTCTTTCTTAATGCCAAACTGGATTTAATGGGATTTGGAAAGTGGAATGGACAGTGAGCATCACCCGCCCACTCACCATCTCCGTTGACATCAATCCTATCAAAGACTCTGTTGGTGAATTCCTCCGCCGTCGTCTCCTGATTGTCGTTCCCATTGATCGCCCGGATGGCCTGGAGGAGAGGGATTCAAACCAGCAGGTCAGATTCAAACCTAGGAGGAGGTTTAGGGGAACTGGGAGCCAAAGGGCGCGTGACCTCCTTACCTTGATGATGTTGAGGAGTTCGTAGCGATCGATGCAGCCGTTTCCATCCACGTCGTAGAGTTTGAAGTACCATCGAAGCTTGTGCTCCATCTTTCCCCGCATCACCAGACTCAGGGCCGCCACGTACTCCATGAAGTCTATGTAGCCGTCCTGCAGAGGCAATCAGCGTTTAATCTGTGCCAAAACCTGGGTTATAATCCATAACTAGACTTGCTTCACATTTTAAGTTTTGTTTATTCAAAACCTTTAATGGGTAAAGAAACAGCGTCGGTTCATTGAACATAAGCCAAAGCAGATTATCTCTGCCCTGTCTGTGTCACAACAATCTAAGCATCGTCTCCGGGATAATCTCTTTGTTCAATCAAGCACACAGATTACAGCAGCCCTTTTGTTGGCTCAAGGAGGAAGTAAATATAGCTTCTGAGACAGAAATCCGCTGACGACCCTGTCCGTCGGACAAAAGAGGCGCCCAATTAAAATGATCCTGGAAGAAACATTTGGCTAAAAGCTTGTAGCTCAAATAAAGGTTTCTGCATTCCAGGGGACATAAATTATACTGAACCAGTTTTCTGCTTCAATTGAGTATTTTTAAACAAGTCACAGCAGAAATGTTTCAGTTCATTATGAAACTTTAAGTTTTACAAATAAACAGAATCCTGCAGCCTCTGAAATAGTTTGTCTTGTTGTCGTGGTGTTGGTGCGTTCAATGAAATAGATTATAAAAAAAAAAAAAAACTTCTGCCAACCTGCTTAGAAGAAGGAAAATCTATAAATGATGCAATTTATTGATCAGATATTTGAATAAAACACGATATTTAGCATATCTATGAAAATAAGTTGATTTTAATCATTAAAAATGATTATTTATCAACCTTTTTTTAGTGTCTGATGTGATTTTAAAAATGAATGTTACTTGGTTCTTTTTTATTAAATATTTCTTAGGAACTGTTACATTTATTATAAAAAATTAAAAATAAAACCAGATAATTGTTAATAAAAATAGGGTGCAACTTATCTCTTCAGCCTAAATTAATTATATTAAACCGATATAACAAATTACTTAAAATAGTAACGTTTCCAAACTTGAGATAAATATTAAAATTAGGATTTTACAAGTTTTTTTTTTTTTTTTTACCTAAAGTATATTTTAAACTTTTGTTGGGTCAGCCAGGCCAGCAGGGGGCCCTAAGCAGCGTCTGTGTTCAATTACATGCAATTTTACCAGACTCTGAATTTATTTAGAAATGTGAAAGCAGTGTTTTATTATTGTGTTTTTAACTCTTATTTATAATCAGTCTCAAATTTTCTGTATTTATTCTTTTCTTTCACATTTATGGTATACTTGTGTTTGAATTTGCATCCAACAATTGATACAATTTTTGTTAATTATTGTTTTGCATCTACAGGTCTAGTTCTATAAAAAAAACTTTTACATCAAATATTTATCTGAAAGTATAAAACTTTTTTTTTTAGACTTAAAAGTAAAAATGGAGTATATAAGTATTTAAATCTAAAATGTAAAAATATAAAGCATTACTGTTAGGGCTGTTTTATTGTTTTATACAGATTTATTTTATCTTTTAAGTGGAAATATTTAAAGGAGTGGAAAACTGACCTTGTTCATGTCGAATGTTCGGAACATCTGCTCTATGTAGGCATTGGCCTCTTGGTCCAATCCTTTCAGCCCGAAGAACTGCTTGAACTCGTGCAGCGTGAGCTGCCCTGATGGACACTCCGTCATGAACTTCTTGTACCACAGGTGCATCTCCACCGCCTGCAGGTCGTCCACGGTGCACCCGTTGGAGTTGCCCATTTCTCTAACAGCTGGAGGAGCAAACGGCTGCTGCTGCTGCACAGAACTCACTGCCCAATTGGTCTACTGTGAAGCGGATCTTATCCCTGTTCACAGTCACACAACACTGGGACCTTTAGGATGAGGGTGGCACTTGGCAAGATCCTTTTGTAGTTCACCAGATCTCCACGCCCCCCTCATCATTCTCCTTGGCTTTAATCTCTGGCTGTAATCCAGGAAAATGCAGTTGATCAGCTTAATCCCTCCATTAAAAGGGCAGGTTGGCCTTCCCGCGTTTGCCCAGGGATGTGCTGACACGCACAATGCAGGCTTCATGCCTCACATGCAGGTACAGGACACCCAACATGCACCATGGCTGATGAGACATGTTCTTTATGCGGACTGGATTACTAACAGTGCAGAGCCTTATAGAGAACCCTCTGCTCCTCCCACCAGTTATACAAACATACCTGCTTATTATTTAGGCTGATGGGTTAATTTTCCAGTTATAAAAATGAACATTAACCAGCTAACAGTCTACAGTCTAGGTTGGAGCGTCTGGATCTTGGGCATGGCGTGTTGTGACCTTCTTGGGAACTTCCTGGGACTTTCTCTTCTAGGAAAATTGGCAGCCATCCATGCTTTCCGTTTCCTCTTCCAAGGGCTTCTCTGAGGGCATTGTTGACGTCTTTCATGTTGGCATCTTGTTAGCACCTCTACGTAAAGGAGTCCGCTGGGGTTTCCTTATACAATGTACATAGTGCCTTAGAAAAATATCCACCTCCCTTTACATTTCACATGCTGTAACCTCATTGACCTTCACAAAAACATCTAAAATTATGAACTCTTTTTATAAAAGCTATGCAATATAAACCTGAATATAATTGAAATGTATTTATCTATTTTGAAATGTGTTAAAGTTGAATTTAAATTGAATTTCTTTCTTTTTTTAAATTTTTTATTTGTCCTGTATGGAGATGTTGCAATAAGAATAATTGTCTTGATGCCAAAAAAGAGCCCAACAGATTTTGGTTTCACAAGTGGAGCAGTACGGCTATCGCCATAGTGTACCGCTTGAGTTACGCATATAAATAGCTTTATTATAACTATGCAGAAGGAAGTAGAACAGGAAAGGAAAAACAGAAAAAGGAGAAAAGATGAAAGAAAGAGGAGATGAAAGGGAGAAAATTATAAACGTCTTCAGTCTGCTTCTTCATCTGTAAAAAGAACAGCTCAACCAACTGATATAGTATAAGAGATACAATAAAGTAGCACCTTGATACTATCGCTGAAGTATAAGTATTATTATTTAATCTGACATGTATTCTATGGTAGCTGAAGATAAGAATATGGGCTTTCTGTATGGAATTAAATCTAAGTACCTGGAGCCAAGCACCTGAAGTTGTTTGTGAGAGTGCACCGTGCATTTAAATTTTATCCAAAGGAAAAATGCTCAAAAGTGGTTGTGAAGAGCCAAAGACCCGCCCCCTCGGAGCACTGAGGAGAGCTCCGGGGGACCCAAAACCCCAGATGCCCAAAGGGATGTCCAGAGAAAAGGCAACCAGGAGGCGCCAACCCAGGAAATCAGCCCGCCGCTAAGGGAGGAGGAGCGACGGCCCCGAGGAAATCCCCAAGCTTTTATCTACTCCATTTTGGTGTACCCCAAGGTTCTGTTTTTGGACTGCTGTGTGTGTGTTTCTTTTTATTCCCAGCATTACATTGAGTCAGATAAGCTTTCCGAAAAAGTAAAAAAAAAACAAAAAACAACAAACCTCTGGAATTTGTTTTCCAAGTTTGAAAGCATTTTGTTTCCAGGAAGTTTTCTCAATTCAAAATGTCTGGATGAGTGTTTCAGTTCCAGGCTTATAGAGAGACTATGACCTGGATGACTGGATGAATCTTCACCAGCAGTCAGAAAAGCTTTTTTCTCATGTACTGCTTCATAGAGACGTCTTATCTCTTTTATTTTTTGTGTTCCTCAATAAAATTTTTAGAATTAATCTTTACTGAACTACCTTATAATTAAGCCAATTAGTTGCTCAGAAATGTTTTATTCCAGAGCAATTGAGTAATCATGCACACTTTTATGCAGGGTGGTGGCAGCATCATGCTGTGGGGACCATTTTATTCAGAAGGCACAGCTACACTGGAAAAACAATATAGAAATTAGTAAAAATGTCTTAAATTAAGTGGGTTTACCCTTAATTTGAGTAGGTAAATGAGATAGTTTCCCAATGGAATGGGTATTTTTAATTCTTAAAATAAGATAATTAGATAATATGCACTTGAAATAAGAAAATGCAATTTATGTTTTCTTATTTTAAGTGTAAATTGTCTTGGTCCATTGGCAAAAATGTGACTTATCTCCTCAATCTAAGAACAAATACATTTATTTGAAGGAAAAAAATGACTTGTGTAGATTTCAATTTCTTCCCGTGGAAATGATTCAGATCAAAGCAAATTCTGTTGTTAAACTGGCTCAAAGTCCAGACCTAAATAAACTTAAGCTGTGAAAAGACTTGAAATTGAACGTTTGCGGATGTTTTCCAACAATCTAATCTATTTGAGCTACTTTGTTTCAGAGATTAGGTTGATTGGTAGAGACACCGATAGATGGATAAACAGAGAATTAAATCAGAAAAGGTTCAACAATGACGAAAGTTTCTACCTTTAAGATGAATTAAGTCTGTTTCATGGCTGATTAGATTTAATTTAATTTGATGTTTTACTCTAAAATATCCAAACAGTTTGAGCAAAATTTTGAAAGGATAATAAAAATGTTTTTTAAAGGTCATTTGCAGGGTTTTTTTTCCATAGGTAAATGAGATTAAAGAAGATTAGTAAAGACGTTTATTTCAATACAGTCACTCTGATCTCAGCGTCCGTAGCAGGAAATTACAGAAGTTGTTTTCAATAACAAAACATAAGATATCTGTTAATAAACATGTATTCATCACTCATATAAAAATTCCAGATAATTTCTAATGAAATTAGCTTAAAATAGAAGCATAGAAACAAAACTTATACTTAAAAGAAAATACACAACTTAAACCTTCAGGAATTAAGGTTTAATGGAATCACAGTTAACGTGGTTTAGAAATTTCTACATTTAAATGTAAAGTTTAGTCAGTTTTAACTGAAAATATGTGTTATGAAGTAAAAGAGCGTCAGTTTTTTCTTCTCTTGTAGTGCAATAATATATTTATGTAATTTTATGAATGTAATATTGTGAATTTAGGAAACTGAGTCGGAAGCATTTCTTGCAAGACATAATTATTCCTAATAAAAACACTTAATCAAGGACATAAATTGTAGCCACGGCATGAAGGAGGCTGTGTGAATTTCTCATGACTTTCCTTCCCCCTTGTCTAGAGTAGGGAGCCATCAGCTTTGGTACAGGATTTCTCTATCATTACTTATATTCAAACAGGAACACTCAAACCATTTTATCTCACAAAATATGCCAAGGAAAAATATGATTCCACAACATTCTTATCGTTACCCTGTGACACACCTGCATTAGTCAAATCAGCAGGTTAGGGAAAAACTGGAAACAGCACAGCAAGTCCTGTGACATTACTTGGTGTGTAACAAATACACAAATATTCATCTTTATAAGTCCTGCTGATTGCTGCTGCTGTTTTGTAGTGTTTTGCCCACATAAAAACACCTAAAGTCATCGGTCCAGACATATGTCCTTGGCAGAGACGGGTCTCCTCTTCCCCCAGTGCAGATGCTGGTAGATGAAGTCAAAAACTGATGCTGTGGTGTGTGCAAACAGGCTGGTCCACTTTATGGCAGTCACCATCCCCTGCACGAAGCGGCCCACAAACTCCCCAAACTGTGTGGTGTAGTGGGCCAGCAGGAGCAGACTCCTCCCCAGCTGCTTGCCCTGGTTCACAATCAGTTTGACTCTGTGATCCTGTCTTGGAATCATCGCCAGCTCTATATATTACATATATATAATCAGAGTTGATATATTTTCAGACACTCCCTGGTGAGGAAAAAGGTGTGTGTACGCCTTTAAATTTGTAGACTCTTCCAGATCCCAGCTGGCCAATCAGAGGCGAGAAAGTTTTGTTTCCGGGAGTGTTTGGTGATGTGGCTCTAAAACCCATCCGAGGAATTTAAGACAAATCAAAAGCAGGCGGATTTACTGCAGGAGCTCCATCATCGGTGAGTTAAAGCCGCCTTTTATCAGGGAGCGAGCCGCCGCCGGAGGCGCGCTGCGCGGCTGTCATGCGAAAGAAAAACAGGGAGAAGTCAGTGGAGCTCAGAAAGGCTATCCGTGTTTACCTTTAGCAGCGTTAGCTCCGGGGAGTCTTCCCAGCTAGCTCGCTGCACCGAGCAAAACACAAGACATTTTACACCATTAATTCCCACTAAGATGTTTCTTCGTCTCCTTTTAACAGCGCTTTTTAAAAAAACGCCTCCCTTTAGCTCCAGAAGTTCAACGTCAGCTCGTGCGTTTAGCTAGCTACATTTTTTCTCATCACTATTAAATCCACGCAGCCGCATTGGAGGGTCCGCGAGGCTCGGCTCCGCCCCCGCCCCCCCCGGGATGAAGATAAGGGATTCTCTATCAATGTGTTTCCCTCTGAGATCAAACTCAGGCCGTTTATTTCTCCTCCAGGGGGCGCACTCTTTACCCCATTAATGCCCAATAATATCTGTTTATTCACTGGATTGTTGATTGCTTGTTTGTAGAACGGGGTTGAAGTGAAGCCACCGGCCGCCATATTGGTACTCCCTAGTTAGACTTGTGGCAATGTAAACAATATGTTCTCATTTTTAGTGGGACTTAAGTCTTTTATAATAAAGATAAATGTATCACTTTGAAATCAGTAGATTACTGTAACTTATAATAATAATAAAAAAAATCAATTCAGTTTATTTCTTTAGCACCAATTCACAACACATGTCATCTGAAGGAACTTTCCAGTTCACCAGATCATCTATTCAAATTGATTCAAGGTTTTCCATCAAAGGAAAACCAGCTGATTGCCTCTACTGGAAGGCAATTTCTGACACTAAGCATGCTTGTAGCGACCTTAGAGAGGAAAA